TTCGTTGATTTAAGTTTGATTATTTAAGGTTTTTGTCATTTTTTTCGCGATTTTTGGCAATTTTTGGTTCAATTTCCCGTCGTTTTTTTTCCTGGCAATTTCTATTTGAGTACTTATTAGTTGATTTTAGTTTTAATTTTGCTTCATTTGTGAATTTAGGGTTCTTTATAGTGTAATTCGAACTTTTATTTATAATTTTTGAGGTTATGAATGGTTATAGAGATTGATTTTGTCAATTTTGGTACTTGCATTTCACTAATTTTTGCTTAAATTTTGATGCACACTAAGTGTTTGACAGTATAATATTGCCCAATGAATCCTATTATTTTATCAATTTCAAATGTAGTACATATTTAATTGATGATCTTCTTATTTAATATTCCCCAAGATTGTTTAAAGTCTCGGCTTGACATTTTCAGCATCAATTTCTATGGTTGTATTGATTGTGGGTTGTCTTACATGTGTCTTTAAGTTTTGTTTCCTATTGATGCATGTTGTCCTCATGGTGTCTTTGAACACTGGCTGGTTTGGGTGTTTAAGGTTTTTTACTCTATTTTTCTTGCTATATGATATTTGACCTTTAATCTCTGGTTCAATATAAGATCAAATGGATATCAGTTATTAAATAGACAAAGGTATCCTGTTAGTGAACTGCCTTGCAGCAGCTTAAGCTAACTTGCAGTATAATTTCAATTCCCATTTTCAAATCTGAATTAATAGAATGTTCTTTAATTGTCGAGATAAAAAAACTTGTGCCTAATACCTCTTTGTCTAGTCACACATATAGTCATGTATGTCAACATGTCTTTATTTTATGACACTCAATGGGCGCTTCAACATCTTCAATTAAAGAAGCTAAGAGTGATGTCCTCAAAGCATTGTCTCAAATCATAGATCTAGACTTTGGAACCGACATTGTTTCTTGTGGCTTTGTGAAGGATCTACAAATTGATGAAACTTCAAAAGAGGTCATCTAAGTAATATTGTGCTCTTGTATCTTTGTAATTTATCATTATTCTCTGAGCTCTGAACCTCTGGTTTCAGGTATCATTTCGCTTGGAGCTTACAACCCCAGCCTGTCTAGTTAAGGACATGGTAAATTAATTTCAAGTTACAAATTTGATTGTTGTTGATGTATGTTTGTGTCATATTTTTTCCTTGGATAATTTTTGTAGATGTTTGATATGCCATGTAGAACTATCATAATTTATTGCCTTAATTCTATACAGTATACACTGACCTCTGACTGACTTTATATCGCCTATTTCCTTGTAAGTGTATTTGGTCTTCAAACATTATGCATTAATATGGGGTATATATAATTGTTGTGTTTTTGCAGTTTGAGCAGAAAGCAAATGAGGTGGTGGCAACACTTCCCTAGGTTAGAAAAGTGAATGTCACGATGTCTGTCCAACCTGCTAAACCAGTTTTTTGGGAAGATCTTCCAAAGGTCTTGCAGACAATTTCAAACATTGCGGCTGAACCACTCAGGAAAAACAACAAGCGAACATGGACTCTGAAGTTCCTATACCTTCTGAACAGCAAAATTATCTGTTTTGTTGTAAGTAAAATTTGGTTAGTTGTTAGGAATGAATGTAAGAATATTGATATTAGGAAACACATTTTATATTGCTTAAATGTGCAAATAATTTTTTGCTCATTTATCAAATGAGCAAACAATTATTTGCTCATTTAAATGAGCATTAAATAATTTTTTGTTCATTTGTCAAATGAGCAAATAATTTTTTGCTCATTTATCAAATGAGCAAAAATGTGCAAATAATTTTTGCTCATTTATCAAATGAGCACAAAAATTCAATGCTATTTTGTCAAATGAGCAAACTATTTAATGCTCATTTGTCAAATGAACAAATGATTCTTGCTCATATTGTCAAATTAATGCTCATTTGTGTGTGTGTTTGTATGTTTTAAATACGTTAGCATACTAGCTCAAGGTTAGAGCATTGTGCAAATGCACAAAAGATGTGGGTTTAAATCCGACGTAGGTTAATTTATGTAATCTAGAGACACAAGTTTGTAGTGTGAGCAAAGAAATGAGTAAACTACACTCAATTGGTCTAGAAACTCAGAAGCCTAAAAGGGGTATATTTAGGGATATTAGAGAAAAATAATGGGTGGTTTTGAGAATTTGAGGAAGATTTTAAATTGATATGCCATGTTTAAACATTACAACTTCAGTTGCATATCCCCTGTTACAAGATTGGTGTTCTTACTCATATTCCTCCAAGATTATATAATTAGCGTCCCACATGATTTATTAGTTCTTCTTGCGTATCGCGTGTTGATGAATATTGATCATCAATTCATTATAGATTAAAAGATGGTGATATTTGATATTTTTGTAAAGAATATGTGCACAAGAAGAATATAGAGGCGTTACGCTTATATATAAATAGTCTTTCAAATTTCAGTACATCATGGTTTCATACACTAACTTAGAACAAGAAATAAGTGAAGATGTCAACCAGTAGCAATTGCACAATCCATCAGAACCCGGCGAAATCAATGAAATAGGCATGATAGCAAAGGATCAAGTTATTCCTACATCAGCAACAAGGATCTCAGCAAAAGGAAAGGAAAAGTTACAATCCTAAAACCCGACTACAGCCAATCCAATTCTCACCCATGATCGTACCTTTGTGTACAAGAGATGATCAAAATGGGCTTGCTGCAAGATTTGAGGCTCATGTAAAGGAATTAGTAGATAATGTGAAAAGTACTTCACTTGAAACTCAGAGCTCAGTATTTTAGCCAAGGACTTGGATAACCAAATCATAATAGCGAGTTGTGGAGCTATCGACCCTTTGGTTAATCTCCTTCGTAGTTCAAACATGAATACTTAAGAAAACGCGGTCACTGCTGTTCTGAAATTGTCTATCAGTAACAAAAATAAGGTTAACATTATTAAAGTTGAGTCAATTGAGCCTCTGATCCGTGTCCTTCAGACGGGGACTCCTAAGGCCCGAAAAAATGGTGTTGCAACTCTGTATAGTTTATCTGTATTTGAAGAGAATAATATTAGGATAGGGAATTCAGGAGATATTGATGCATTGGTGGAGTTGTTAGGGAATGGAACACCCCGTGGTAGGAAGGATGCGGCCACTGCTTGGTTCTACTTGTCTACACATACTGATAATCGGCACCTTTAATTATGCCACCTTTAGTTATCTTGTCCATGTCCGGAACCACAAGAGCCAAAAAAAAGGTATGGTACGGTACAACTTTTGTTTCAGTTATTACTCTTTCCATCCCAAAATGAACTTCCCACTTTTCATTTTAGGGTGTTTAAAAAAAAAAAACTTCCCAACAATGATCATTTGACCAAATAACTCAAATGGCCCCTATTAAATTTAAATGGGAAGTGTAGGAGATCTAATGTTTGATCATCATTTATCGAGTGTTTTTTTCTTACCCTTTTTGATGTATTGCAGGCTAATAGGGTTCTTCAGCATTTGAGAAGCCTATAAGTAGTTTATAATGCCAGGGCAGGCAGATTGTATACCTGAAATACTGCAAATGTCGTCTGTGATAACTTCTATTTATGAATTAGTTGAGGGATACATACATATTAATTTAGTTCTTCTGAGTGGTTTAATCTTCTATAGATATATATAAAAAGTATAGAACAAAGCATAGTTGAGTAGAAAAGGAGAGATTATCAAGTTTTTTTTGAAGGTTTTTTTATATAGTTATTTATAAATGCAGCTATGTAGGATTCGAACCTACATCATCATTTATGTAAAGTGGAGACACAAGTTTGTATGAGAGTTTAATTGTAACAAATTTTTTATAGTTATAAATCATTTCAAACCAGTTTTTTGGTCATATAATTGAGTACGAATTTGATTTTTTTTAATTAATATTGTTTATAGAGATAACCTATGTAGGAATTGAACCTACACCCCCTATGCATTTGCATATTGCTCTACCAATTGAGCTAATAGGTTTTATCATATGTTTTAAATCATTTTCTATGTTATAAATTTTTGATCAGTTCATTTGATAAATCAACAAAGAATTGTTTGCTCATTGATAAAATGAACAAAGAATTGTTGCTCATTTAATAAATGAGCAAGATTTTTTTGCTCATTTGACAAATGAGCAAGAATCATTTGCTCATTTGACAAAATGAGCAAAGAATAATTTTCTCATTTGACAAAGTAAGCAAAGAATAATTTGCTCATTTGAAAAAGAGCAAATAATTACTTGCTCATTTGAAAAAGAGCAAATAATTACTTGCTCATTTGACATCATACACAAGCCAAATAAGACAAATATTATGCATCAACTCTTATGAGAAAATCTTGTAATACTTGTGGGCTAAATAATAAGACAAATATTATGCACCAATTTATTCCTTGCTTTTGCTTATTTGTACTGACAACCAAGAATTAGTTTGATCATTTGACCAAACCTCTTATCTTACACCACAACTCCACCATCACCTTACACCACAAATCACACCCATAACTCCACCAAAGCTCTTATCTTACACCACAACTCCATCTCACCTTACCCAATCACACGCACAACAACATCAATATCACCACAGCAGGCCACACATCCTAATATCTGCACCACCAACCATGCCCTGCTACCAGCAATTTTGCAGCCGTCGTTCCTAGCCAACACTAAGCTGCTGCTACAGTCCTCACAACCACACCACACATTGCAACACACCAATTGCTCGTCTGATAAATAAGCAAAGAATTATGCACTCATTTGATAATTGAGAAAAGAATTGTTTTCTCATTTTGTATATGGACAATAAATTTTTGCTCATTTGACAAAATGAACAAAGAATTGTTGCTCATTTATCAAATGAGCTAAGAATTGTTTGCTCGTTTGATAAATGAACAAAGAATTATTTGCTCGTTTGATAAATGAAAAAAGAATCGTTTGCTCGTTTGATAAATTAACAAAGAATTGTTTGCTTATTTTAACAAAATGAACAAAGAATTGTTTCTCATTTGATGAATGAACAAAGAATTGTTTGATCATTTGATAAATGAGGAAAGAATTATTCACTAGTAGAAAAAAGTCAATAGGAAGCCCCAAATGAGAAGCGGTTTTTAAAATCTGCTTTCTATTCCCTACAAAAACCCGCCCAAAAAAAACACCAGGATTGGAATGGGAAGCGGTTTGGGTTGAACCGCTCCCAAAAATATAATGGGAAGCGGTTCAAACCGCTGCCCTTTATGTTATTATATTTTTCTCACCCCTCTCATAGCCTCGTTCACTCTCCTCATACCTCACTTCCTCAATTCTCTCTCCCTTTCCTAGTCCCCCCACTCCTTCTCCTCAAAGATGAAGGCAACCATCGCCGCAGCCGCAACCACATCCACAACCACCGCCGCTCACAAATTAAATTCTCTCTTTCATCTTCCTCCTCATTCACTGATGGTCACGGTGGTCGCGAGCATAACGACGGTGCGATTGGTTTTGATTGGTGTTCATGGTATGAGCTTCTTTAAATTTTCCCCTTTAAATTTCAAATTTTAGGTTCCTTTGCATAATTACTAGTTCAAATCTCTGATTTTTTTCGATTTCTAGGGTTTCGATTTGTTTCTAGGGTGGTGGTTGTTTCAGGGAGAGAATGGGTGGATGGTTGTGCTTTCGGGGAGCGGGAAGGTGGGTACTGGTGCTTTTGGAGAGAGGGTGGGTTTTAGTGGTGGTTAACAGGGTGAATGTTGGTGGTGGCAGGGTGGTGTTGAGAAAGGTGTTGGTGTTGGTTGAATGACCTCTAATTTGGCTATTTTTGGTAGGGATTTAGGTTTAGAACTAGACAACTTTGCAGTCACTTGCGCGATTGTGTTTATGTTTCTAAACAGAGAAGTTCACTGTAAAGTTAGGAACTTAGGATCAATATTTGTTATTCAATCTTAATGCAGTGATGCAATCCCTATCTATTTACAGAATCTTCCTCTGCAATAGTTTATTTACCATAAATTCATTGAATCTCTATTGGATGGTTACTGAAATGTGACTTATATTAATTCTTAACAAGAATGGGAAATGCTTACTGTCAGAAGAAAAGAATGAGAAATGGTCATTGTAATTTCTTGTTTACATACGGGGTCTACCGTCTAGTTCCAGTTTTAGCATTTTGATGATTGATACACTTAGTTCGAACCGTGTGGTGCTGGTGCTAGTTGTTCATGCCAAGCATTTGGCTTGTTTGGGTGCTGCTCTATTCTGTTTCAATTTATTCAATTTTCTGCTGTTCCTGTTCTGTTTCAATTTATTTAATTGGCTACTCTTCCTGTTCTGTTTCAATTTATTCATATGCCTGCTGCTTCGAATGTGGGCAAAACCGACCCTGCTGCTGCTTCAAATGAGGGAAAATGGATCCTCCTCCGGTGACGATTTTTGAACCCTTATCTTTATTGATTTTTTTACCATAATTGTTAATTGTTGGGGATTGTGAAATTGAGTCTCTGGTTATATGTCAATTTTTTGGTTGCATTGAGAAGGAGGTTTGTATGTACTTGATTTGGTTGCCAATAACATGCTTTGGTTGCCATCCTGTTATTTTTTTTTTTTGGTAGGGAGGCTGCACAGCCCAGCCCCTGCCCACCCAGGCAGGCTGCACAGCCATCACACCAGCTAGCCAGGCTCCACAGCCAGCACACCAGCTAGCCAGGCTCCACAGCCAGCACACCAGCCAGACAAGTCTTTGAGGGGCCATGTCCTAAACATGATTAGTGAGTCCCTTTGTCGTGGTCTGATTTTGCAATATAAAGTCCCTAAGATCTCAATGATTCAATTTGAGAGATCATTCTTGTTACTAAATCTAAATGATGAGGGGACTCATCTGATTTTGAAATGACTTGTTTGATTTGCTCCAATTATAACATTGTTGAGGTAACAAACAAGATTTCATTTCTTGTGATCAAATTACAATCTCTCTGATGGATTTAAGATGTCACTCATGATTGGTTCAATGTGTACACAAACCTCAAGCCTTCAAAAATATGAGCTTTGTCCTTTGCCATCCTGTTGTATTTTTGTTGTTGTTGGTATTTGATTTGATGGACTGAGTTTGTTGTTGCTGTTGCTATTTGATTTGCTAGACTAATTTGTTGTGCTTGATTTGGTTGCCAATAACATGCTTTGGTTTTCATCCTGTTGTATTTTTTTTTGGTAGGCAGGCTACACAGCCCAGCCCAGGCAGTAACTGTGTCGTTTTTGTTAGTTTGCAGGTTCTATCTTTTGTGGTGTGGACGTGTGGGTGGTTTCTGCTATGTAGCTGTAGCTGCTGTTGGTGCTGGTTGTTCGTGCTGCTGGTTATAAGTACTTATATATGATTTGTATATTTTAACAATAATTATAAGTAGTACGTAGTATTTGTAAATATCAATTTAATATATTTGGTGTAATTACATATTATTGGTAATAAAATTTATTAATGATGATACTTTTCATATATATAATAATTTTATGATATAGATATATCATTGTATTATTGTTTTTAGTATTAAAGTTATTATTAATTAATAACAACTTTTAAAAAAAAAGGCTAAATGGGAAGCGGTTTGGCGCCAAAACTGCTTCCCATTCTCATTTGTAGAGAATGGGCAGCGGATAATATGTAGAGGAAAATGGGCAGCGGTTTGGCGCCAAACCGCTTCCCATTCTCTACAAATGGGAAGCGGTTTGAACCGCTTCCCATTTAAATGGACAATGGCGAGCCCCCTAAGCCGAAGCGGTTCAAAACTGCTTCCCATTAAGGGGTTTAAACCGCTCCCCATTTATTGTTTTCTACTAGTGATTTGCTGATTGACAGATGAGCAAAGAATTATTTGCTCACATGATAAATACCAAGATTATCATCTGTTTGAATATCACCAACTAAGACATTAACCCAACTACCCCCGTCTGCCACACTAATCTGACTACCCCTAATAACAAAGGGCAGTTCATTTTTCGAATCAAAAGTATCCGAAGTATGTATTACCTACGAACTCATTCAAAACAAACTCATTGATAATAGAGTACCGAGTCACAAGATTTTTAACAAGCATTTTATCAAACACCTTGTACACACTATCAGGATATTCAAAACAAATAAATCGCAAGTCACTAATTTTAAACAAAATCTTATTGGAAAATAAAAATTGTAACTAACAAAGACAGTTAATCAAGACAATTCAAGCATATATAAACACATCCAATGCTAACAAAGAAGTGGACATTGCTAACCAATGGAACAAAAGGGCAAATAAGAGGTCAGACCTTGCAGGATAAGAGCTTGATACAACATTTATTAGGCTCTTCTTCGACACGAACAAGCAAAACTAGGAAAACCTCGAAAGAAAAGAATTTAAACCTGTAGACATAGCACCTAAATGTACTATCATCCACTCTCTTTATCCTTTCTACATCCAACACTGAATACTGACTTGCTGGCAAGCTCATATACTCCACTACTCCAGCACAAGCAATTAGTTGATTTGAATTTATCAAAATTCGAACAAGTTGATTTGAATTCATCAAAATTCAAACGAGATGATTTGAAGTCATCAAAATTACAAAAATCAGAACAAGAAGATTGAGAATCCAATTGAAATTATCAAAATTAAAATTAAATTAGGAAAAAGCTGAAAAGTACTAATTGAAATTATGTAGCAGTGAATAAGAGGAGGGAGAAATTGTCGATCTTCAATTGTCTGATTGTCTCCATTGAAATCCCACCTTCAAGTTTTGTAGAGAGAGAAAGAGGAGTATACAAATTATACATAATTGGGGCTGATGTTTTTGTTTTAAAAATTACATTATTGTCATTACTAGTTGACAATCTCAGCAGTTGGATCTTATAGTATCTAATGGCTGTGATGAGTTCTCATATATAATAGTGTTCTCACATAAAGGGTGGTTCTCACAGGATCCCAACCCTATATATATATATATATATATATATATATATATATATATATATATATATATATATGTATATATATGTATATGTATATGTACATATATATATAATTGTTAAAGAAATGGGATGATATTTTCTTGTACATAAAATGATTTTTAAAAAAAAATTAAAGCAAAATGCTGCAATTAAATGAGCTATCCGGGATTTGATCCCACGATCAATGGGTGTGCCAAATGTATGATAAATTTGCATGTAGTAAGTATATAACTAATTTCCGCCAGTGCTAACTACACCGATCTCACTATTTAGGCGGGCAAGTAAGGTTGGATTCCAAGAGACTATGGCCTAACAAATTATATCGACTCAAGCAATTACTAAGCGAATAATCAAATATAATATCGAGAATAATTGCAACAAAAATAACTAAAGAGCGCAATTAATCAAAATAATGAGAGAAATACGATCATAAAAACATCTAAGGTCAAGCATGATCACCACGAATACGATCAATGCATTAATTATTTCTACCCCTAACATAACAATTCAATCGACAACATGAAAAATAATCTCTAGATAATATCAAAGGTCTCTTCCGAGTTGTCAACAACTTCCCTAATCACACTAAAGCTTACGTACTCTCGTGGAATCATGCAAATTAGAAACAATAAGTACATTATTTTGCTTTCTAAACATTAAGTACAATACACTCTTGCGAATAAGTTTAATCAATTAATTGATATATTCAAATCCGTCAAAACCCTACTCCCATTGTAATAAAACAATGAATTAAGAACAATACTAATTATATCCGGAACCTAATAAGCACATCAATTAAACATGTCAATTGCAATTATTATTAGAGAATTTAATGAATGAATTCATGCATCATTTGGGTTATGCGATAATAAGGAAACTAGTCACACTTAATAGTAAATACAATAACAAGAATTAAAGAAAATAAAATATAGAGAGAAAACTATGTCTAATAGTTCATAAAATAAAAGCAAGGAACTATAGAAGTATTTATGAAGATAGAATTTGGCTAAACCGCCCAAAACAAGCGCCCAAGCAGAGCTTGCTGAATTGCATTCCATATAGCTAGGCACGAATGTGCCCGCATACAAGCACATACGTGCCTAGCTACAGCCCCAAGGCCTTCCTTAGTAACAACACATACAGACATGCATCTTGCACTCGCTCACACACAAACGTCTCTTCCAAAAATCGAGGCAGAAACTATTTCAACTTTTTGACAAATAATGCACGGACGTGCCCACCTCGCAACTTGCACCGATTGCATCAGCACGTCCATGCCCGCATATGGCATTGACACACTGCTTAGGCACAGACGTGTCTACCTCAGGCACGGACGTGCTTGGGGATTGTTTTTCCTTAACTTCTTATCTTCTTCTCTTCACTTAGCACGTTCATGCCTTGCTTGACATGGACATGCTTTGCTAGATTACTACTCCTAATTAATTCCTTAACTTCGATCGTTGAGCCTTGTGAGCCTCAGTTTAGATACGTGACGACGTAAAAAAATCCAAATTAGCCTCGTTAATCTTGAAATACATAAAAAAATAATAGCGAATGAAATAAACTACCCATAAAAGTACCAAATAATTACAACTAAACCAAGTCAAGCCAAAATAAACTATAATAAACTAATCTAGCTGTCTCAAAAACTAACTAAAATGACTCTAAATACATGCACAATACACAATATATCATATGGTACTGGCTATATTAGCGGGTGTTATCAACTAACCCCACATAAATGACATCAAAGGCTTTATATAGTTAAATTAAATCTTTGAATTTTTACTTCTTGTTTGCTTTATTACATATATCAATTGCTAAATGGTCCAATTGAACATCCCTCTTTACAAAAATGACCCTATATAATATTGTATTTGTTTTGAAAACCCTATATAACATTTTTAACTTAATGAGCAACTATATATATCTTCATTTTGCACCCGTATTATAAATTCATAATTGATGTCATATAAGTAGAGAATTTCCCACAATGGAAAAAGCCTAATGAAGAAATACCACGTTGAGGTAGAAGGCCAAACCAATAATTCCTTATTTTAAGGATCTAGCTTCATGTCAACACTATTGCTAAAATGATGAATTGAGACCTTCGGTTACCATAGTCAACTACTTTGCTCTATTTTGACATTGGGTGTTAGTTTAGTAGACTAAATGTTTTTGGTCATGATATCTGAATTCGGAAGTCTAAAGATACCATGATAATAGTGATGATGCATCTTCCATGTGCAAGACAGGTTGGATTAAGTTAAGGAAGACTAAATTTTGATGCTCTAGTTTAGTAGACTAAATGTTTTTTATGCTGTTGCGATTTTTTTCAATAAAATTTTGAGGTCTGTGAATTTGGTGCTCTATTTTTGTGCGATTTTCAAAGGTCTGTGATCAAATGGTAAGGAGATCACATTCCAAATCACTTACGAAATAAACAATATTCGATGGAAAACACAAGGCTCAATTTAATTGAAAGTAATTTTTGTTTCTAACTTTCCATAAGATTTATAGGTTTTGTATTGTGTTTAATTTATCATTGCAGTTTGAATTACTGTATTACGGTGAAGGATTTATAGTGGATTTTGTAAGTTCTGCAAATTTTACTTAAATTCCATCTTTCAATTCATTTTAAAGGGTTTGCGTTACTTTGGATAACTTTTGTAAAAATATGAATCACTTTTGTAAAACAACTACGGATTACTTTTGGAAAAAAAAAAAAGATAATGAGATAAAGATAATGGATAACTTTTGTGAAAAATATGGGTCACTTAAAAACAAAAAAAACCAAAAAACGGATAAGATTGTGTATAACTTTTGTGAAATACGGGTCACTTTTGTTTAAATATAGGTCATTTTTGTGAAAATATGGGTCACATAAAAAAAAACCATAAACTAATATTAATGTCTACACGTGCGAAAATACTTGATGTATAATAAATTATTGTAAGTTGGGGGCATGTAACAGTTTTACTATTGTTATAATTTAAATTAAAGAAGTGTATCTTTAAGAAAGGAAGAGAATATAATATATCGACACTTATCAAACACGGTCCTAATTTATAGAAAATCTAACCGAATTTCATAACAAATATAGTACTCATTAACGTTTACTCTCTAATAGAAAAGAATAAAATAAATAAATTGGAAATGATTAATAACGTTTACTAATCTCCTAAATTTAATAATAATAATAAAAAGAAAAGATGCCACATGAAGTCATGCCATTAACTAAACATATTATATTAAAATTTAATTTAGATGGAAGCATACATATTGTTTCGGTACGAAATCAATAGGACCTTGTTAGGCCCAAACTAGAGGGGAAAGTCTGTCTCGGTCCAATTAGCTGCGGAGCCGAGGATTTCCTGCACAGCAAATACACGTGAACTAGCCCCGGGGGTGTAGCCGAGGAAGGCCCCTCCGATGCTAAAGTCAGTATATTTTAGAGAGAGAAAGCTATGCAAGATATTAGTTGCTTGAGGCTTTGTTTGCAT